TGATCAGGATGTCTCCAGGTTAAACTTTTTAAATTGTGATCAGGATGTCTCCAGGTCAAACTTTTTAAAGCTACGTGATTTTCTTAGGGGTAAACGTGAATTATTTTTTTTTTTTTAAACCGGTAACAATCTGATTGTATGTCTGTCTCACCTCTCTACAAGACAAAGAGCAAGATGGAAAGATAAAACAGAGAAACTCTACAACAGCATGATGTGTCTATGGCTGAGGCGGCTAAAAGAGCAAACAGCAAAACCTTATATCTCCATCGATACCCGAAACAGTAAAAGAGGAAGTAAAAGCAGGCATTCTAACAAAACTATAGTGGTGGCCAAATGTTTAAGACCATACAATAAATAACTGTTATGGAGTATTGCATCTATCAGTAATTCATGGCCAACTAAAGGCAATTAGTGCAGTCTGCCTTAAAATAGCAATATTCAATAAGTGTGAAAATCCTAATTGTTGCTAGATAGTCTTAAATTTTGTCTACCACAGTATATACAATTTAAAGTTTACCAAACTAACAAACGATATAACTAAACATAATCAATCTTTTGTTTACTGCCAACCAAACTTTACTAATAAATCATCAATGCTGATCCGATGTCTACTTCTCAAATGCCTACATCTTGGCTGCCAAATAAAATAATTATTTAAACCCGTAATTGCTTACATCTTTCATTGTTAATCCTCATTTGCATGACACTATACACAAACATAAAACTGTGGTCTGCTATAGAGGGAAGTAAGTAAAGGGATTGCCTGAGTGCCGCAGCAGCAAAAGGACATAAGTGTTTGAAGCAATGAACAGGATAGAGGCCCTTGAAGTAACCAGGACAGAATGAAACAATCAGTCGCTGCCTAAATTATATTAAGGGGTTAAAGAACTCTCCCTCCCCCCCCCCCCCCCAACAAAATAAGTGCTAATTCAACCTGTAAGACACTACAATCAAGCCTCTCCCTGTTCATGACTCCCACAGATGCATATTAAATATGTATTATAACTACTCTTTCCTTTAATAGATAAGTGTTTGTAAAAAAATCATATGCACATTCTAAAAACTTGTAAACATTAGCCCTGTAAACAAAACAAATGTGACAATTTAGTATTAAACAACAGTAAGTAAATGCAAAAATCAAACATTAAAAAAAAAAATTTCTGTTAAAGAATTAAGTAAAAGGGCTTTCTGCATGTCTTCAGGCATACTGGATGTATAATGCAAGTCGCAGAATTGTACAAACCAAGAGGTACTCAAGGGGTGATGTGGTCAATACAGTAGAACCTCGCTTAACGAGCACCTCTCATAACGAGTAATTCACATAACGAGCAAAAAAAATTGTAAAAAAATGACTCGCTTAACGAGCGACGTTTTGCATAAATAGTGGCAAGGAAAGGGGAAGTTCCGGATTTTGCACATGTTACATCAATGTTTAGTACTCTTTCTAGTAGCATTGTCGCTTGTGATCACACATTTTCTCAAACTTGTGTTATATGTACATGAATCCTCCAGGCCTACAAGATGACCTCTCTGATGAATTTAAGTTAATCAAGATCCAATTTCTGCCTTCCAACACCACTCCGTTACTCCAGCCCATGGACCAGCATGTTATTTCTAACTTTAAGAAGCTCTACACTAAAGCACTCTTCGAGCATTGTTTTCAGGTGACTGAAGGGACCAACCTCACTCAAAGACTTTTGGAAAAATCACTTCTACATCGTTTCCTGCCTCAAGATGACTGACAAGGGGTTACCAAGAGAACCCTAACTTCTTCTTGGAGGAAGCTTTGGCCGGAGAGTGTTGTCTATTTGTGACTTTGAGGGGTTCGAAACAGTACCTGTGGAACCTGTAGTCAACAAGATTGTGTCTTTGGCCACTATCATGGGATTGTAGGTAAATAACAGAGATATCGAAGAGCTTGTGGAAGAGCACAGCCAAGAGCTGACCATCAAAGAGCTTATGGAGTTGCATTCACAGCAAGAAGTTTTGGAGAAAAGTTTGTCAGAGGAGGAGGAGAAGGTAACAGAAAAGCAACAATCTTCTGGCGAAATAAGAAAAATGCTGAAAGCATGGAAAACTGTTGCTTCTCACACTGAGAAGCATCACCCTAACAAGGAAGTGGCTAGGCGCGCTGCAAATTTAATTATAATGCTGTGTCGCATTTTGGCCAAATTTTGAAGCGTCGACATAAACAAATGTCTCTAGACATCTTTCTAGTAAAAAAAATCATTAGCTATGTATCATAATTATTTCGACTCTTTTTCTCCAATTTGAATTCGCATTTCTTGTGGGTTCGTTCAGCGTTTGAAGAAAAGATGAAGATGATGCACTCTCCTTAAATATGTATATAATTTTCTTTGAATAAATGTTATAGTATAACTTTTACATAGCATTTTGTGAGTATTTTTTTTTTTTCGACATGGAACGCATGATTGTATTTTACATTAATTTATATAAGAAAAATTGCTTCGCATAACGAATGTTTCGCTTAATGAGTATGATTCTGGAATGAAATGCTCGTTAAGCGAGGTTCCACTGTATAACTTTTACTTCCAGTGACATTTCCAGTGAAAATTGTAAGCTGAATTACCCTGGGAATCAAAGTTAATGTTTCAAAAATCCCAACAACAATAGGCATCCAAATATATGACATGTCATACATATTTAACATTTAGTATATGACATGGGTGAACTGCATGCAATAGCTAAGGATACGACCTGGCCTGAGTTGGTTGGCCGTACTGCAATTTCACAGCTTGCTTATTTTACTGTCAGCCTAAAGCGGCAGAGATGCGGTTTTATAGATGAGTTGTGCGAATTTCCTGGACAGATAAAAAGAGTTCCAAAAACATTTAATGCAAAACTAAGATTCGAGCATCAAGAGCATACAACATGAAAATCGAAACACCAAGAGGCAGGGGAAGACCAAGAAGAAGATGGATTGAAGGAGTCACGGACAACTTGAGACTTCATAACATCACGGCATATGAAGCGACTGAGTGCGCCCTGGCTCGGTTGCCGATCATCTGATAGACTGCGACGCCTAGCGGCACAAGCAGATTTTGACAAAAGAAGGAGAAAAGAAGATTCGATTGCTCACAGCACTAGCTATTAGTACATTCACATATGGCTGTGAAATGTGGACTTTAAACAGCTGAACTTAAAAAGAAGATACTAGCATTGGAAATGGAAATAACATGTTTCAGAAAAATTCTTGGCATATCATACAGAGACCACATTACAAATGAAGAGGTTTGCCACATAATTATACAGTAAATTAGCAACTATGAACCTCTTTTAACTGCAGTGAAAAGGTGAAAAATGCAGTGTATTGGACATGTATTAAGATCTAAAGGCCTCTCAAACACAATACTGCAGGGCTTCATAGAGGCAAAGAGGAAAAATGGCAGATCAAGAAAGACCTGATAACAGAGCCTGACTGACAGGACACGCCTCACGCATGAAACCACAAAGTCTGTCGCAACTGACCGCCAAAGGTGAAGACAGCTGATCAGACAGTCCACAGAAACCTGTGACTCAATGACATGCAGTGTTACAGGATGATGATGATGATGATAAAAAGAGCAATGAAGATGTCTTGAAAGAAACTGACACACAACATGAACTAACCACCCACATCAGAAGCAGAAAATTTACATTCTTCAGTAATGTCATGAGAAAGAGAAAACTGGAGTATATCATGATGGTGCGAAAGTTGGAGGGAAAAAGAGGCAGAGGAAGACCGAGACAGTGGATGCTGGATAGTTTGATATTATGGTATGAAAGATCATCTGTGTCAGAAATGACTAAAAATATAAGAGTTAGAAGGCTGTGGATAGACATGAATACCAACACCACAGGCATCAGTTATGGAAGATCCTCTATGTCAGAATTGATTGAAAGTACACGATTCAGAAGACTGGATAGTCATGACTACCAACACCACATGGCTTGGACCATGGAAGATCTGGGTCAAAATTAACTAAAAGTACATGAGACAGAATATGTCTTAGTAATATATGGGTGTTTACATATTCATCAGAGTAATGGCAACCAGCTTTCCTGCCACTTTTCTGTAACAGGTAATGCATGATGTGCTAGAGTACTGCAAAGTGGGTATTAAGGCAGCTTTCTCAAGAATCAGAAACAAAAAAAAAGATTGATGCTTGTCATGAAGTTTTGCACTGCTTTGAAGCAGAAGGTGATGGTTTCCTTCTTCTTCTTCTTTCGTTCGCCTGAAATAAGTCGTCTATATCAGCAGTTTTGTCTCTTGTATAAATTTCACTGTCGTTGTTAGTTCATTCAGTGGTCCATAGAGTTTTCATTCCACTGTTGTTCTTTCTGGCCAAAAAGTTTGCCTTAATTTAAAAATCGGTGCAGTCCTGGAGTACATGCTCTGCTGTCTGAGGCACATTTCCACAGGTGCACATGGCTGATACGCCTATCTTAAATTTTGTGTACATGTGGTTACGTAATCGGTTGTACCCTGTTCTGAGGCGGAGGATAATGACTTGTTCTGGTCTGTCCATAATAAAATAGTCGTCTTGTGCTGGGGCTGGTGGTTTCCTGATCAATTTACTGATTCGTTTCTTTTGGTGGTATGTGACTGGTACATCGGGCTGCTCTTTTGTTGCACCTAAAAGGAATTATTACTGGAGATGAATATTTTTCTATAGGAATACAAGCACTTTATCAATGGTGCATGACTTGCATTGATTGCTGTGGTTACTACATCATTGAGTGATACATTCATTTTTAACTTTTTTAGAACATATTCACACAATAACAAAACCCCCACCCTCAATACAGACTGAAAAATGTAGGTTTTTATTCAAAGCCCCTTTGTATGCAGACAGTTGGTAACAGTGTAAAGATTTAAGACATCTTATACATCCATCTCATTCAAACCTTTGTACAAATATTTGTTCAGTACACAACTGCATTCTTCCACAGACTTCCTGTTGCTTCAAACTTTTCCTTCTCTCAGCTGTGCTGACATTTCAAGATTCACCAGCAGTTTCTGCAATGGTGCCTTTTGATGAGGATCTCTGAGCCTTTTTTGCCAGTCGATTCAAGGCCTCCTTTCTTAGTGAGTTGTTCAGCTTCTCCGAACCCCACATCCACAACCAAAGTGGAACAATGTTTGCAATCCAAAGCTGGAAAGTAAAGAATAAGCTGTGTGTTACAGATATCTAAATATTCGCATTACATATGTGTTGTGGTTTGTTGGACAAAGATCGCCTACTCTTTTCACAGAATACATTAGTGTAAGTTTTAAAAGATGTTTAAAGAAAAGGATCAAATTAACTGCACTGTGTTTTATCCCATGTAGCTCAGTATCTCTTCCCAGTGTTACTTATTCACACACTGAGAGCATGGTATTAAGCATAAAACTAGATAACTTCAGTGATGACTCATCATGATTTCTGAAATGCCTACACTCGCCAACTGAAGATGAAACTCAAAACCGAACCCAAAACCTTTAGAGCATGAGGCAAATAGTCTAATCATTTTAGATTATAATAAGTGTAGGTAATAGACTGCAATTGTATAAATCTACAAATCAAAACTGAACAAAACAATTCACATAGAAGTAATAAAGACAGTATACCCAAACAAAAGGGGCGGCAAACAGATAAATGCCTAGATGTCTTGATCACACTGCTTACGTAAGAGAAGTAATAAAGATATGGGTAAAAAAAAACACAGCTTTCAACTGGGTTGTCTCTCTCCTCAAGGTCTTAAGCAGTCCGCCCCGTACATGCTAAAAAAAAAAAATGGGTCATGAACCTGTACGAATTTCCAGGGAAAAAACCTTTTAAAAAAAAGTAATTATATTAAACAAGTCACAAAAACATTTTTGAGAAATTTATTTATCTAGATTTTAAGATGTTTTCTGAAATATATAAACATATTAAAGAATAATCAACATGAGCAGAGTGAAGCTTTACATAGAATATATTCCCCAGGATGTAAAGAAAATGTAATGGGTGACTCATGCCATAAACAAGCGATCTCTATCACTGAGGCTTACGGGAAAGTTGAGGATCAACTTGGCTTTCAACCCCAAAAAAACACCATTAGGTCATAAGGACCACCCCAACACACATATGCTATATTTAGTTACTATATTCATATATTGGCCTGTTAAAGATCATGCAGGCACACACAGGACCCAATGGAATTTAACTACACTTTTCCAGAATAGATTACTGCAGACATAGCCATATATCATGATTTAGGGGACTGTGTCACAACTGGAAGTAACTAGATTTAGTCTTCTTGGGGAGACAGGGTTAATGTTTAACATTGTGTCATTTCATAACTTGGCCATGCTACTGTGGGCCATAAATCTCGACCTTTCAACCACTTGACCTCTGGCCTATCCAGCTCTGTGGGTCACTTCCTGTTCAATTGTCTGTCTGTGATTCAGCAAAAGTCACATGCCAGCAGTTGAGGCATGCATATTATGTGCTTGGATACTTTTCTGACAGCCAGTGGACTTGACACCCCCCCTCCCTTTCCCAACAAGCTAATTTATTTTACGTAGTTTAAAAAAAAAAGAAACCATCTAAAAGCCAGCCCCCAAAAGATACTCAAATCGTGAAGAATGTTAGTATTTTTCTATTCTTTGTCCGAGATATTCAATGAATCTTCCTTAACATAAGAGTTTAAAATGTGTTTTTTTAAATTAAAAAAAGTCTTTAGTGATTGCGAAACAGTCCATGATTCATAGCTGTAACCCTACCCAGTTAGCCTTTGTGATAATTGATAACTGGCTTGAAATGGCTAATGAAATTATAAAATTATCTACAACTATAAGAAAGAGGCAGTCAGCGTTCTTTGGTCATGTGGTAGGTAGAGAGGCATTGGAGAACATCATCATGACTGGAAAGATCAACGGTAGAAGAGCAGAGGCAGACTGAGAAAGACGATGTTTGATGGCCTGAAGCGATGGCATGGTGGAATATAATCAGTGGAATTGTTTCCAAATACCAAAGGCTGAGATCAATGGAAAGACATTAGTGCCTATGCCGCTGGGCTGATGATTATTATGATGATAACTGACAACAAACAAGGAATACTACCTGCAATGTATGAGGAAAATAGCCAGTTGTACAAGCTGACTTTCCTAAAGTGGTCACTGCACTTCTAGCATAGGTTACTGCATTGGGGATGAGGATGCCTGTTTTGGACAGGTTCTCGCTGTAGCCGGTCATATTGGTGGCCACATAAAATGGGATCAAACACTGGAAGGTCACTCCAGTGTGTCGATACTCATAGGCTAATCCGTGAATGAAGTAATCCAGGTATCTCTAAGAAAGATAAAGAAGAAATATTCTTAAAATAATTTTTGTTTACTTTTGCAAGCGCTTGCCAGGAGGTATTAGTAATTTACAGGTCGAAACTATTGATCTTAATTTTGCAATGTGATCGATCCTTTGATCGGTTTATTCTCTCAGGGCTGCTACCTAAAGGTTTACCATCCCAGCCTGAGATTTTGAAATCTCATTCTGGACAGCAGACCAACAAGGCAGGTCCACCAAGATACACCTGTTCAACCTCCTAAGAAGTTATAATTAGGGCACCTGTAATGGTTACACCAGCCAGGTGTCACCTGCGGTCCTATACATATAGGGACATGTTGCTATGTGATGTATAGGCTCAGTTTTCTGTGCAATACCCAATAGAGACAAACTGTCCTGGAGCTGAGAACATGTCTCAAGATGTAAGGCACTGGTTAAAGTTCGTTGCGTATCCGTTGCAGAACCAACCCCAGCATCTTTGGGCTTTTGTGGTTTTTCTAGACCAATTTTACATTCAGTAGTTTGCCATTGCTTGTGAACGGTCAACTCTCTGTACCGCTGTCGAAACCAATGTGAGACAAACTGTCTGCAGCTAGGATCGAACATAGCATTACAAAGCGCGTTTGCAACGCCTAAGCCATAGACGCCGACAAGGCACTGGTGTCTCAAATAAATCAACATTATTTTATGTCAGCTCTTTAAAACCTAGGAACTTTCTGTGTGGATCCCGAGGCCTTGTTCTAGAGGAAACAAATAACAGATTCACTGCCACCCTAACAAACATGTCAGAAAAGACAACTAAATTTTGGGGGAATATAATATGATAGGCCGACAGGGGCGGACATTGCAGCCTGGCTGTAAACCACAACACAACATGCCAGCTACCATTTTAAGGAGAAGGAGAAGAAGAAATTTAGAAACACCATGCCTTTCTAGAACTTTCTCATAATGCAAATACTTGGCTTTCAGATATCTCAGATAAATTCAAATCTTCTTCTTCTTCATCCTCCTTCCCCTTTCTCTCTTGGTTCAATAAAGTTTAAGCTTTCAACCAACTCATGCTGAGCCCTTTGTAAACTATCTCATGAAATGTTGGATTTTGTGGCTATTTTTCTAGTGTGAGAAAGCAAGTCACGCCAGGCCTCCTTAGCCATAATATGCATGCGTAATATGCAAGGTAGGTTAGTTATTAATAAAATTGATGACGTAACCAGGGAAAACCTGCAGTGCAGCTGATGACAAGAAATGCAAAATTCAAAATAGAATTTGACTAGAAATTTTAGTGTAGGAATGGAATATATTTCTACATGTCTTTTCCATTCATGGTGCAGACTGGCTAAACTGTCATTATTAAATCATCATCTGCACCGTGATGTTATGGGTTCACCACTCTTGACATCATTTACAACAATACTGACAGGTTACAAGACAATAGCATGGTTTCTAAAACATGTTTAAAGTTTTCATTCTAAGCCCCCCTTCACAGTTAAAGTAACAACTGTCTTGGATTGAAAGAGTTAATATGTCTATTTAAGAGAACACAACTCAGCAAAAAACGTACCTTAGTGGCAGAATATACTGTCATCTGTGGGGTGATCTGTGTGGAGGAACCTGAGGAGACCACAATCACTCCTCCCTTTCCTCTCTCAACCATCTGAGGTAGCAGCATGTGCGTCATCTGTAACACAGAAGACATCTGCATCATACAATTGTTATCATTTGAAAGAAGGACAATTCCTTTTTAGAATATTCATTTTCGTAATTACTGCTTGAAATGCTACTTTTTTGGGTGTGGGGTAGGTTTTTCCAGTATGGTTTTTAAAAGTGTACTATATCTTTTAGTGAGGTCAAAGGATTTTAATTGTCATTGTACAGTATAGAACTGAATGGAGAATAGACTGTAAGCCCTATGCGACATATAATGGCACAAGACGACAATAACAGGACAATGAATGAATGAATTACTGCCCCGAAATACTACTTTTTTAGGGCAGTGCAGAACAAGGGATCTTAAGCCTGAAGATTTAGGGTCACATAGCTAGTGTAGATGCCATGAAGTGTGCAGGTTAGGATTTTCATTTTCTATTCCATCATAAAAATGTCCATCAGAATACCAAGAAATCAAATCTGAATCTCTTGCATGAGAATCTAATATCGCAACCGTTCGTCCAGCCGCTCCTCAGTTCATAGATGAAGTGTAATTCATCGCTTATTCTATATAGAAAAAAGTTACACAATTGTAAAAGGCACTCAAGTCAGTGAAAACACATAAATCCCTCTAGATTAAATATTTAGAAGGTTCTTGTTTTTGTTCTTCTTCTTCTTCTTGTTAGTGTTCACCAGCTGTAAACTCCAGTAGAATGTTTCGGTTGTTCGTCCACTGCTGGACTTTGGTCCTGATCCAGAGCTTGAGTGCTTTAGTTTTGCACTGCACATCCGTTACATAGATCTGAGGTATTTGAATCCGGACGAAGTAAACGAACCTTTTCATGGCAGCGAAAGAAACATCTATTTGTATAAATCGGCAGATCACCTCAACGTGATGGCAATATCTTCCTTATCACCAAGTTCTTCTGTAACTGTAAGTGAACATCTGGCATCAATGACTTAACGAGGCATTATTCAGATGTCAACCCAACAGGAAGATATAGTGGACGTTTGATCACAAAACAAAGTTACTTTGGGGTGCCAAATCCTTGCATAATATGCCCAATGTGCCACTAGTGTTTAAAAAGGGGGGGGGGGGGTGAAGGGGTAGTGTTCTTGACATACCAAAAAAACACTGCAAACAAATAATTTACCATTGTGGCTGCACCAATGTTCACGTGAATCAGTTGCCATAGTTTCTGCCTGCAAATGTTCAGTAGCACATCTGGGTAGTCGTACATAATACCAACATTGTTCACTGTAAAATAAATCAGAAACAACAGCCACATCTTATTCTCTTGCTATTCTTTAGTTATTATGACTAGATGTGATGACAAGCATGTCAGTAAATGATCAGAAATGTGAAAGTACAGAAAAAGTAAAACAAAATGTAGACAAGTGATAATAAGCACACCCTTGCCAAGAAAGTTCAAATAACAACACAAAGAGAGGACTTCAGAATGAAAACAATTAAATCAAGATTTACAAGAGTATATATTTGGGCACAACATTCACAGAAGATGGGAAACTGGATGAAGAAATAAAATCTCAAATACTTAAAAGCAAACCAAGTTTTAGCACAGATAGCTCCTTCTTACAGCATAAGACAATCCCAATCAGCACAAAGAAACACCTTATACAACAAACCAGAAAAGAAAATTAATAACGATGGGTATGAGATGACTGCATAAGTGACCAGAAGACATAAAAATCAGGAATAAGATCATAAAAGCTGGCACAAAGAATCAATTAGAAATTACATACAGAGACAGCCCCCCAAAAAAATGGTTTGCCCACTTAGAGAGAATGCCTTGTAATGTCCTAGCATACGAGGCATATACAAAAACAGGAGAAGGATGTAGAGCACAAGGCAGACCAAGAACAAGATGGAAAGATAACATTGGATAAACTCTACAAAAGCATGATGCGTCTATGGTCAATACAACCAGAAGAGCTAGAAATTGAACTTTCTATCTCCCTCAACATCTGAAGTGGCTAAATAAAGAGGAAGTGAAGAAGAAGAAGAAGAAATCAAGACACATGTTCATTCGGTCAGTATAGGCTGGTCAGTACCCGGTACCAGAAGATACATAAACAAATAATGAGGGAGAAAACATGACCCACCCAGAAGTCCAATCTCTTTATCTGCCAGCTTTTCTGATATGTATCTGTAAAGTTCTTGCTGGTCGTCAGAAGCAAAGTCCACAACAATGTACTCAACTTTGACTTGACAATCCTTTTCTGTAAAGACAAATACATGACACTTTATAGTGAAGAAAAACATAGGTTATAAACAAGTAAAGAATTAAGGTATGTGTTTTGATTTTTGGAATCCACAAAATCGCATTTGTGTTACCAGTGCCCACGTTGAACGTTGAATTAGGAATCAACATTATAGCACTCAGGACATTTCCACTAGTGCTCCAACCCCATCTTTAGCAGCCAGTGTAGAGTACCAGTAAGTGTAGAGTTCCTAATTCTAATGGCTCTAGTAACAGTCTGACTGTATATCCGTGCTTCGCAATTACCTTGAGTGTTGAGAGTCGGGCAGATCCCCTTTTCATTCCTTGGAGCACCATTCTCCTCAGTCTGTGATAATCTATTTGTACTTCAGCACCTTTCACTCACTCCAAAAGGAGCCTTATAACATCTAGCTTATCATGCATCAATTCACCACCAAGCAGTACAGAACCAGCCAGTCTATCTGTCTGTTCATTTCCCAATACATCAACATCATCATCATCATGTAGCAGGTTCTTTGCAGTACGTCGCTCTCATCAAGGTTTGCCTGAAAGAAACTCGGTCTCTCGCCAGTTCTCCAGCCTCATGTACTTTCATACTCAAGGAGTCACTTATATTCTGTGACCATCTTCATGTTGGTCGGATCCAGCCGCTCCTTCCTGGTACCATGCCTTCTGCTATTATTTTTTCCAATCTGTCGTGGCGCTTGATATGACCAAAACATTTCAGCTTCCAAGACAAGATGCTGTTTATTAGCTTTCAAGATATCAGTATTATACATCAACATACCATCCATCTAACCTTTTCCTTGAGTGCTGATCGTCGACCAGGTCCCCTGGTCACTCTTTGCGGTAGTATTTCCTTCAGACCGTGATGATCCATCTGTGCTTTCACACTATTCACTCTATTCCAAAGGGCCCTTAAAACATCTACCTTGTCACACATCAATTCACCACCATGTTCTGCAGAACCAGAAAGTCTATCTGCCTGTTTATTCCATAATACACTGGCATTATCCTGGGGAAGACATCCAAAGGATGATAACTACCCAAGACCTCTGAAGCCAAATTCAACATTAACTCTTTCACACTTAGAAGCCTACATCTAATCACTTCTAGTTGGATGCACACAAAAAATACAGCATGTAGGGTGATGTGTTACTTCCTTGATCTTGCAACCATAGAAGCGAGAACAATGATTTGCAGAGCATCTGCATATCTGCACATCAGTGCTGATACATACCATCCATTGCACAGTAAGATTCGTAGAAAGAAGGGTAGCAGGTTCAAAAGAGGAAAATCCTGGGTAGGCCAGGCTGAGGACACTATTCAACAAGTTTTTTCAACTAACTGAGGACATAAAACCTGGTGAGGAATGAGTACGAGCGCCAGCAGAGTGGTGTACATGCTTTTCAGTCTGCATAAAACTCAATAGAGATTGCAGACGACAAGGCCCGTTTGTCGTTGAGGTAGAAGTTCAAGCCTTAATTCTTGAAAATTTTGATGATGGAAGAGCAGTTATCTACACTGACTGATCCGTCGGTCAACAAGTACAAAGTTCACGAGCTTTCATGGTTCTGGTTCAAGGGAAAACTGTAAAAGAACATAGTGGGGTTTTTGCCTCGACTTCAAGTAGTCTGACTATGGGTGTGATGGTGGTAACAAAAACAATGATGTGGCTAGAGACACAGCATTTTTCTTATGCACATGTTTTAAGTGATTCCATGAGGATGCTTAAGAAGACAGAGACAGGATGGATTCGAAGAAAATGGTTGGAGTCGCTGAAGAAATCTTGTCTGAAAGGAATTAGTTTTATTTTTGTGCCAGGACACTCTGGGGTAAAAATAATAGCCATCCATAACAATAAATGAATTAACAAGCAGAGAAACACTGTGTCTCCTTGTTCTTCAAAACTATTTTATATTTTCTTTTTTTTTTACGTGAATCTACAATAATATGTATCTTACCAATTTCATTCTTTGCTTTTGTCAGCTTACGTTCATTTCTACTCATCAGAACTATGTTTAAACCTCTTAAGGCAAGTTCATAAGCATAAGCTCGACCAATGCCTTCACTGCTGCCTGTAACCACTGGAATTAAAACACAGTATGTAAGTAATCAACATAAGATATACATTTAAGCTGTAAAAATTCACATATTTTCTGTTTGAAATTTGTTTCCATCTAAATCAATTGATGACTTATAGTTTGTTCCACCTAAATTAATCACTTAGAGAACAATTCAAAGAAATATTTTCCCACCGTGTATTTTAAAAAAAATGTTAAACAAAAAAGGATATAAACAAAACATTCAACAATTTACTACCTGAAATATATTTTTTTATAAAATAACAAAACTGGTAGAAGATGAATACACAGTAAGGAGTATGAGAATGTCCTGGGTACTGAATTCTTAACTCTTTGGTCCTAAACAACACACCATGTGTGTTCAGCTATTACCCGACAGTCTTCACAGATGCATGGTCTGTTATTGTAGGCTTCAATTTTGATTAAGCACATTTAAGAAACCTGCCCAAATATTATAAATTTAGCACTGTAAATGTTGCCTCTTTGGAAGTTACAGATCCATGCTCTTTCTTTATGGGTACAAATACCAAGGGCATCTCTAACTGCTACTGAAAGAGTTATCTCCTTCAGGAGAACATATGGGGTTCTTCTTCTTCTTCTTCTATTCGCTTGAAATAAATGATCTATATCTGCAATGATGTCTCTAGTATGAACTTCACTGTCTTTTGTAATTCACTCAGCGACCCGTAAAGTTTGACTTGCACCGATGTTTCACTTGGCCAAAAGTTATGCCTTAATATGTTGTATTTGGGACAGTCTTGGAGGACATGATCTGTCGTCTCAGGTGTCAGTCTGCATGTGCACATGGCTGATTCACCAATTTTAAATTTTGTGTACATGTGGATGCGAAGTCGATTGTGTCCTGTTCTAAGGCGTAGAATAATAACTTGCTTTGGTCTGTCCATGAAATGGTCATCATTTTGTGCCGGTTTTGGTGGTTTTCTGATTGATTTGATTATTCTCTTCCTTGGTTGATAAGAGACTGGTACGACAGATTGTTCTTCATTTGCATCTTCCTTAGCTAGTTTATCAGCTCTTTCATTTCCAGGAACTCCGCAGTGGAATGGTATCTACTGAATAGTTACCAGTTACCTTACACCTGTTGCCTGGTTTGGAGAGTAGTGTTTATATACCAGGTAAGTCCAGATTGGAGCGCCTGAAGCACCGCTCTTGCCTCTGTCAGAAATACCACGGGTTGTGAAATATGACGAATATTCAAGTTTCTCTGCTGCTATTTTGACGGCTCTAACTTCTGCATCATAGTTGTGACAGTGTTTTCCCGTAGGTATTTTGGCTGTATATCCGGTATTATTTGGATGCTCAATACACACTCATGCTCCTCCATTTCTGCTGGCGTTTTGTGCTGATCCATCCATATAGACACAAACCCAGAGATTATGTGGGTATTATGGGGTACTGATAAAGACCTCAGCATTTATAACCCACGCCAAATAGAGCATTGCACACTGAAGAATAAGACAATGACAATCAGGCTCATGGTATTAGTACTGGAACGCATACTTACCAGCCCAGGGGCCATACGTCTCCACCCAATCCACTCGGAGCTGCCCAAGTAAATGCACGTTTATTGCTTCAACAATGTTGGAGGTGACTGCAAAGACTTTCCTACAAACATACAGAGCACCCACAACTGCCAGCGCATCCCGAGTATCTGTCACTAAGGTTCTTGCCTCTGTTTCTATCTGTTCCCACAAAAATTTGAAACTATCTATTGTTGTGCCTGGTATATGACCCATGGTGTAACCTGGCACATTCAAACTCTGCACAGATTACAAACTTTCCTGAACTTTTTGTACGCAGACTTTAGTTGTATATAAGTTTGTATTAATATATGATTAATTTATGCACAGTTTAACCTTCCAGATTAAATTTATATATAAACTTTGACTTGTGACTCGTCGATCTTCTGAACTAAGTTTATAAAAATCTGTCAGTCTTTCTTAGTCAGATCAGATACAACACAACTAACTACAATGCAATAGAATTTACAATACTGTATAACAATATAAGCGATCGAGAAGGACTTGCTTCTTTGTATGTTTCTGAACTTCTTTTAACGCTCTAGATGTGGTTGCCTGCCAGCTAGCAAGCGTAAAGTGTTAATTTACAGCCTGAAAAACAAAAAGCCCCAGTTGTAACTTTCCTAGCATGACCCCCAGCACTCGCCGACTGCTAACTGCAAAATATGGAATCGGCGTTAAGGACGGATGACGAAATCAAATAGCTCTATTACAATATATTTTAAGGCAAAACTTCTATCCAAGAGGAACACTGGAAGCCAAAACTCTACGGGTCGGTGAGAGAATTACAGCAGACGGTGAATGACGTTCATACTAGAGACAAAATTGCAGATATATTTCGGACAAACAAAACGAAAGAAGACAACGACGAATATCTTTTTACCAGAATTCTGTATCGTATTCTGTTTAATGAGAAAAGAAACACTGGAGAACATCATGACAACTGAAAAGATCAGTGGGAAAAGGTGTAGAGGCAGACCAAGAGATGTGATGCTGGATGGGCTGAAACTATGGCATGGATGGATATCATCAAGATAGCTCCTCCAGGCAACCAGAGATGGTAGTCCGAGGTGACGTATAAGCGCCTTTGCCTGTTGGCAGGGCACATGATGATGATGATTATGTTCAGAGCAAGCCACGGCCTACTCTATCCTGGAGCTGGTCGTGAGCAAGCTATAAGGGATCATGAATGACCTGCAACTGACATGGGAATTCATAGAGGCAGCCCACCTGACGATCTGACTTGGGCATATGAAACAGAATGCAAAGAAGAAAGAAGTCAATTAGACAACCGTACTGTCAGTGGATATGTGGATATACAGAAGAATAGAATGGAAACAAAGTCAGTTAAATGCATAGGTTCTGATGAGATTAGGAGCGGGGGGGGGGGGGGAAAGAGTTGCTGAAGAAATTAAAAGAGACAAGTGAAATGTTTCAACAATTAAAAAAAAAAAAAACGCCTATGACAATCAAACTGGGAAGTGGGGAGGGAGTTGACAGCAAGCGAGCAAGAGACAGACACAGGCGCTGGCGTTTGACCCACGGGGATTCCCGTTTTCAACATGTTGGCTCCTGAGTAATCTTAGGGGTACAGCTATCTAGGTTAGTTAGTTGCGAATCCTTTACAGAACGTTGCAGAACCAACCCCAACAGCCACTGGCTGTTGTGTGGTTTTTCTAGGCAAATTACGTCCAGTAGTTTGCCATTGCTTCCTGGACGGTCGGCTTTCTTGATACAGTTGTCGAAACCAACGCAAGGCGCATGGCCCGCAGTTGTGATCGAACCCGGTATCCCGGCATTTCGATGCATTGCAGAGATTAAACCTTGTCTTTAATAAGATGTAAAATAGACTATGCACACTTTTGGTTCCTTGCCTCTCAGGCAGATGTACTCTGACTTCAAGGGATGACCCCAATTAGTCGATACTAGATGCTTGTTCCAGAGGCAATGGGTGTATTCTTGTTTTCCCCACATCGGGACTGACTGTGGAGTCTACAGGGGAAATTTCAAGGATGGGAATGGACAGCTACAAACTCCGGAAACCCCGTTCACCCGTATAACCATATGGCACAGCTGTAATGAGGCATCAGAAAACGACTATAAAGTAAACTGTACTTTAGACACGGCCGACTCTATATTCTTGAGAAGGCCTTGACTTTAGAGTGGGTGGGTTTGTGTTTTTGTCTTGACCCCAGTAAGAAAAGGTGTTAAAATACTGTAAAGTGCTGTCCCGAGCCATATAAGAAGGCTGAAAAAATCCTTCTGGCAACCTGATGCATACAAATAAATAAAAATTAAAGTACTTCAAGGTCCTTGCTCGTGCTATGGAGTTCGTGCACTGCGCTGAGATTCTTCAAACTCAGACTGAGTTAAAAGTAAAACGGAGCACTTATGGGTTACTACACTTCTGCCATGATGTTGATCGTGTGCAGACACTTCTTCGTACCACGACCAGAGGCTGTCAAGAATTTTCACGCGTTGTCTTCCTCTGTCTCTTTTCCCACAAATATTACCAATGGTCACAATATGTCCATTTTCCTTTTTCCCATAACATGACCCAAAATTCATGGCTGTCTCTTTCTCTCTTTCTGATGTTTGTGACAAGTTGTCTTCAAGCTCTAACCCCTTTCAAAATATTCGGGTTGCTCTTTTTCATGTTTACACTGAATTGTAAGGATTCTTTTATAAAAAATTTCTTCGGGGCCTCAAGAAATTGTTTAGCTTGTTTATTCTTCTTCCATTTGTAAATTCTGGTTGAAAGTTCCGGTTGTTCATCCACTTCTGGACTTTTGTTGTCTTGTCCCAGAACAAGTTTTGCATGCAAATCCGTTTAACAGATCTAGCATATTTGTATGCAGACTGTTAGTTGTTCTCCTTGCATGCAGATTCACTCCGACTTTTGAGGAAAGGTCACTAATTAGTTGAGTTTTACAATATGCTTGTTGGGGATGGGGGGTGGATTGGAATCTACCCTTTTTTTCCACACAATGGAGCCATGAAACTCACAATGGGGAGTTTGTTCATTAATTGTCCAAGACTCACAGACATACAGTTAAATTGGCTTCAGGAAGCATGCAATAATTATTTTTCTACCCTCCAGTGACATGTATTTATTGCATAAAATGTTCTTTGACAGACTGCAGTTTTAACCTGTCTTATTCTGTTCTTGATCTCTGTGATAAATCTTGTATCAGATGTTATGTATGTGCCTAGATACTTTAATTTATGTTCTGGTCCCTAAATAGTGACTTTTATTATGCATTTAGGTTCTATTCATTTCTTTGATATTACCATTACTTCTGTCTCCATATTCTTCTTCTTCTTCTTTGCATTCAGTTTCGTATGTTTAGATCAGACCATCAGGTGGGTTTCCTATATGAACTCACATGTCAGTAGCAGGTCCTTCCTGTTTCCACTTAGCTTGCTCTGTACACTTTGCTCTTGAGGCCAGGTGTCTTTTTAAAGTTGAAAGTAGACTGGGCAGGTCTGCAGAATGTGCTCAGGTGTCTGTGGTCCTGTTTGACAGGCACACTGTGGGGACTGTACAATCTTTATTTTATGCATGTGGTAGTTGAGTCTGCAGTGTCCTGTTCATAGATGGAAAACTGTTTATGTTGCTTTTTGTTGAGAGTGCTGATGGGTTATTGCGGATGTTTACTGTTAGTTTGTCCTCTTCACAATTCCTTGTATTCTCCCTTGAAAAATTTTCTGATTTCTGGTAATGACAATGGATGAGTGTGTTGTTTCTCCTTTGTTCCATTTTTTGCACTTCTGTCTGCTAACTCATTTCCTAGCATACAGTAGTGAGCCGGGATCCACTGGAGAATGATTTGATTGTTGCTGAGGCCCATTCACTTTCTACAACTACAGTATCTATCAATATCTTTAGTTCTTTCTGACTTGTCGCTATCAAAACTATGATCAGCATAACAAAGGTTGTTTATGTTATGAGAATGAGGCACCTGGGTGTAACCAGAGGGTCTGGCTGGATCACTACACTGAGAGGAAAGGCAAGACGGACATATAACCAGATTGTGACCAGTACCATCAGTATTGGAGCTGAGCTGGCTGCTGAAGATGAGGACAGAGCATGCATGAGAATGCTCTGAGTGCTGTGATGTCAATTCTTTACTCGACTCAACTGATGTTATGAACACCAACCACAGTTCCTGGCATAGATTATCTTGGTTCTTTCCCCAGTGGATGCTCAAACTATTGTCAAAATCAACATAAAGGGTCTGCAGTTAAATCAAACTGATACGTTGAAATTATGAAACTTGTGTAGTCTGGGTTAACATCGGAAAATATTCTCATCAAGTCTTTACATTGTTAACTATATCACTAGTGTACACGTTTTTACACTCTTTGATTAGTGACTCCTCATGAGGGTTTCGGGGCACGCAGTTGGGGGGAGAGGGAAAACAAAGAAAAGACCTGCTGCCCCTCTAACAAGCATGTCTTAAAGGGCGACTAATAAGGGAGGTTTCTTTTGAAGTCTGAATGCACCCGGCGCACTGGTGAGGAACCAACAATCTGCATAAAACTCAATAGAGATTGCAGACGACAAAACCCGTCGGTGGTTGAGGTAGAAGTTCAAGCCGTAATTCTTGAAAATTTTGATGATGGAAGAGCAGTTATCTACACATCTGTAAAATGGTATGCATGCAAAACTCAATTTCTGGAAAAGACTAAAGTCCAGAACTTTCTGCTAGATTTTGCAGAGACTGAACGCTAAGAAAAAGGAGGAGGACTGACTGAATCTAAAGTCACTTTAAGTTACTTGGAGCGGATGGGGGGGGGGGGTATTGAGTTATTCTGTAGTTTTAGGATACTTAGCAGACTTCTAGTAATTCACACGTGTCTCTGGGTAGTGAGATTTGACGCTCTTGTTGCACACATAAAAAATCCCTTGGCAGTTGGAAATCGAAAAGAGTAGCCTAGCGGCGCTGCCCAGCAAATTTGGAGTTAAACATCTACCCAAAGTATATCAGGATCCTTGCCGGTGCTACAGAGTCTGTGCACTGTGTTGAGCTTCTTCGGACTCAGTGACTTGAGTAACAAGAAGAACGGAGCACTTATGGGTTACTACCCGTGTTTAAACTTCAATGGATACTGAGCAAACAACCCATCTAATTTGTCAAGCTGGTATTTTCTAATGTACAAAAGAAAAAGAACCGACATCTATGTGAATGCACTCTCTTATTTTCACTTACTGC